CTTTTCGAAACTTCTAATGGAATTCCTTTGTTAATGACTTTATGCATTCCATATGAGGGTTATGAACCGAGAGGACTCTATTCTGATATATTCCCCGAACACTAATAAAGCCCTTGGTCCGTCAACATTTTAAATGATCATCAAAATAGACTTGCTCTGGCAGGAGTTATAATAACCACTGGAATAAGAGATAAAAACTAATTTACTTTTTTTTAGTTCATTTAAATCTTTTTGTATAAAGTTAATTACAAGTTAAACACGAACTATCAACCTATCTTTTTTATATTTAGGTTTACATACGTAAAGAGGCTTAAAAAAATCAACGTTGTCTCCGAAAACTCCGTTTAAATCTAGGTTTACTTTAAGATAAGATGGCGGTTTGGATAATGTGTAGTTTTATACTGTCTTTTTCTATAACTAATATTAGCGTCTTAATATAACAGTGTCCTTTAGCAGTAATGGAATGTGCTTGTATCACGAGTAATTCTCATTTCCTTTGTCAACGTCTCCCGGCTCGTGCGAGTGGACACATTCTATTTGCAAATGTCGCGTATTTTCAGCGACATGTGCACCGCATTTCAGTGAAAACTGAAAACGTTATATGTAGTTTAATCTCATACCGTTGTATGTCCTTTATTTTACTTTAAAAATAACCAAATTTTTAATTTAAAAATCGAAGTTAATCGATGAACAAGAGAATCTTATACAGTTGTTGTTTTTGTTCAGTTTATAATGTCATGAATTTTGAATGATTTGTCGACTTGTATTAAACAAAAACATTTTAAAACTCCAGTAATAACTGTTCTATGTAATTAGAGTTTAAGATTCAAGATCGTCTTCTCATATCTGATGCGATACATTGTTTAGATATTTGGAGCCTGTTGAGCGCCGCAACAAGTGCTGCATCGATCACAGTGACGCACGTACATCCCCGCACCCCCGCGGCCTTCAGCACTCCCCCGCACGCCCCGCCCGCGCCCGGCCTCTAACGAAACGCACACAAAAACCCCTTGCTCTACCAAATTCACTCATTATCGATTCGGCTACGCACTACGAGCTACGGGCTACGATACGAGCTACGCCGTACGACTCGCTAGGACTACCGTTTTTATGAAACAAACATATCGACTAATGATAAATGTTTACCTGAATTTTTAACCATGCTTATTTTCTCTCCATTTCCATACAAAATTAAAGGAAAAAATACGTAGTAAGTAATGACTGTGAGAGGTTGTTAATGATGGTTCGTTTGCGTTGTTCATTATTATCTATTTTGTTTAACATTTGATTTTTACATTATCAATTACAACAACTAACGCTATCTGTCGACAAGTCAAGACAGTAGCGACACGTTTCTGGAAAGCTTTGAAAACAGAACACTGCCTGAAACGTTAAAACGTCGACATTGAGTTTTCGATATTTTCCGCTAGAGGGTGTTTATTGCTTTTAAAAATAATTCGTATGAAAATTATAAAATTACATGAGAGCGATTATTTTTTTGGTAAATATTGAACAAATTTTTATTACGTAAAATGTTTTATTAATATGTTAAATACAAGTTTTTATCTCAATAACAAATGTTATTTTAAGTAGTTTAGTATTTGTACCGTAAATAGGTTAAGTGTTGATTAAGACATCAGATGCCAAGTAATATGATTACTTGAGGCTTCTTACGTCTTAATTAAGTTGGTTCTTCGATGAAAATGCAATGAAGCCAGAGGAAAACACGTAACTTGATTTTATCACTTCATTAGACTGAAGGAAAGTATTGAATTTAATCGAATAAAAATTTTTTTATGTATATGACTTACTACATTTCTTAGTGGTGATAATATATTAACATTTTTTTTTAATCAATAAGGGATAAGGGCAAGTGGATGATTTTTTTTTAATCAATACTTCTACCCAGTTTTTATTCTATTTACAAGTTCAATACTGTAATTACTTCATATTTTATGAATTAGTTACATGAAAATCAGAACGGTAGATAATAAAATTTGTCGGAAATTTTAATCAAAATTTACTTGCCAACAGACAGCTAAGCTCAAGGGAATCGTAGCGTCGAGAAATAGAAAGACGAAAGGAAACAAATTGTTTTTCTTTATTCTATTTTACCATCCAAGGGTATAAAACCTTTATTTTTTTTTTAAAAATTGACCTAAAAAAAAATAATATTTTAATATGCTCTTCGGACAGTAATGTCCTCATGTTTCTAACCTGCCAGATAAAATGCTGGATACCATATAAATATTTAATGTAAAAATATTATCAACTTCTCAGATTAGATTCTAAAAACATGAAATGATACTGGCACAAGATAGACGGAATAACTTTTATATAATTTGCGTCTCGAAATGACGTCTGGGAAATAGGCGTTATAAGATGAAGCACTTAATGCGTTTAAAAGCAATCTTCACTGGGTAGTAACAGTAATATTGAATCGACTTATTTATCCATATTATACATTTACCCAATATTTTAAAGATCATAATTCATCTTACGTATTAAAATATCTATTTCATATTTGAACTTAACTTTTTTGTTTACTCAATACGGTCTATTGTTGATCAATGACTTGGCTTGCCGCTCCCTTGGACCGTGTTTGCAACATAATGCTAATTTCACACGAGGGCAAAATAAAGAGGTAGAGCAATAGATGCAGTACAGCTACTTTTTGAACACACTCTGTCAAAAATGCTGAGTAGTCTTTTTATAATGTAAAATTCATTTAGCGATGTCTTAAAAATGTATTCGTAAACAGCATGACAGATTGGGCTGCTATCTCGAGGTGTGCGTTCAAATAATAGCAGTACTGGTAAGCTTCACTGCTCTACTATACTGCCCTCGTGTGAAAGAAGTATATCGTTGCGGCGAAAACATCGGGTAGATTGATTTTGCTGAGACCCTGTCCTGTATGCACACACACTGTGTCTATTTGCACTATCACGTTGAAAGCGTTGCTTATTTTCTTATTCTTTATTGCGGTATGTCATGGGAAGTAGGTCAAATTACTTAGATACAATTGTAATAATCAATCATCAATAAGAACAAAATTAGTGAGAAGTGGGAATATTTCGGTTTATTTCTTTTCTTCTGGATACCTTGCTTTTTAGTATCTAGCTGTTACCCGCGACTTCGTAGGCGCAGAATTTAAAAAAAAATGCAAAAACATCCTATGTTACTCACTGATAACGTAGCTTTTTATTGGTGCGGGGATTTTTATAATGGGTTCAGTAATTTTTCATTTATTTTGAAATACAAATCTTTTATCTTTGTAATATTAGTATAGACATAGAAGTATAGATCACATAATAACCTTTAGGATTAATATCCATCTATTACAAGCAGAATTTAGTTTATAAAGCATATGTTTTTATTAATTAATCTTTAAAATTGTATTCGTGTGATTCAAATGTGTTCGTAACGAGTGATGTATCGAAGATGTAGGTATGACCCCTTTAATGACGTCATTACTTGTACCCACGTACACCTACATGACATAACAAGGTCATCTTGGAAAACAGTTTGTTTCTGTCTTGTAACTACTAACATTTGCCATTATCTAAATGTAACAGAAACTGTCGTTTCGCATTAAGGAAACCGAGAAAGAAACATTTTAATGGATTTGCTGTAGAGCCAAATTATTGTATTATATACGTTTCTTACTAAGTCATAATTAGGGTTTAACTTTTTTTATTACCTAGAACTCCGAGTTTGACGATAAGCCTAAGTTCTTTAAGTATCGACCTTCGAATACTTAAATATAATTTACGTAAGATTTAACGTCCCAAAGAAGCTCAAGAAAGTTTTTACTGCTTAATTATTCAACGGTTTTTTACCTGAAAAGATAAAGTAGATTTTTTCAGTTTTAATTGTGTTTACTTTTTACCTTTTTTAATTCTCCTCTGGTCTACTAACTTAAGATTTTCCTTCCTCTTTTACATTTTAATATCAACGTAACAAGGGTAAAGGGACATCTAAGTATTTATTGTCGTTCTTAAAAAAAAATCATCGGAAACAAATTCTGCCGTATCAATAAGTATTACGCCGCGATTTATTTGATGTTAACAGTTCACAGTAAGTTTAACAGTAAGCTTTACACAACTTTCCGTTCCGGTTTACGACATAGGAAATGAACGAACTTCCGAACGTACTAAGTTTATCGATAAAACTACTTGTTATTTAATCTTCAGAGGAAGTAAGAAGAACTGTTAAGTAGCTTAAAACTTCATTTTAAGAAAGGTATTGAAAATTGTAATTAAATGAGTGTGGAAGGGTACTTCGGTAGAGGTAGACCTAGAAAGAGATGGATAGATTGCGTAAAAGGCGATTAAAAAGGCAGTGATGACTGAGATGACGTATGATAGAGTTATGTGGAGGACAAAAATCTGTTGCGCCGACCTTACGGGAGTAGGATAAGGAGATGATGATGATGATGATATATGCAAAATTGAAGTAGGTTAAATAAATTATAGGTGATTTGGCCGAAGGTTATGACATGTGCAAAAGATTTTATCGTTTCAGTGTACACTTTAAAACTACCAAAGGAATTATATATTTCTAATAATATTTCTTTGTTGTTAAAACAGTAATAAAACGACATAACATTTGTACTCAAATGTCGTCCTATTTTAGGAAAGCTCTGTTCATTACGCTTATCTTTATGACCGAAGCTTTAATTCGTTCAAGTGTCACGACTGGATTTTGTGCGCGTCTGTACGAGACGTACGTCACGGATTAACATATTAATTACGTAGACTTGAAGAAAGGTTCTTATTTAATAAAAATAATAAAAATATATTTTTGTCGCGAAAAATGTTTTGAGGAATTATAAAGATTATTTTCCACATATAAAAGGCATTTTACTAGTCAGATTTTCATATTGTCCAAATATGAAAACTATTTAAGTTGGTACAGTTTTAGAAACTTAACGTGACAATCATTTCTATGAAATGTTTGAGAATAATTTAAAAAATAAATATAAACATTTCAATACTTACGTTTTGACCAACATCCATTGGTGCCAACGTATGGGGTTCGGTCCGGCGCGGTCGTCGCCACACCAAGAGGACCGCTGCAAACAGCAGCACAGTCCCCGCACCACCCATCGCTCCCAACGCCGCACTCCAAGCGTTGCTATTCCCACTCCATCTTTCCATTGCCACTCGAGCTTGTGGGCTACCCAGTTCCTTGTCAACTAAAGCGGTAGTGGATTCTACATTCAAATTTCTGCTGTGATCTTTAATGTATTCAGTGTCCCAAGGTGCCACGCCGAGCTCACTCCGTTCTCGCCACGGCTTATCTGTCCGATAACAAAATTAGCTACATAGAAATAATGTAACATCGATCCGCCCTCATAGACAACGACGTATATTGTGTTTGTAGCTTATTGTTTTGTGGAAAGTTTATGATTTCCCTTCACGTCCAGTTCTATAAATATCACAAAAACTTAGAACTATTGCCAATAACAATAACATTTTAATGTCTAAAGTTGCTTCAAACATACATGTCTTATTTAACAATTAGGTATAATAGTAATTTAAGTTTGTTTTTTACATTCATTAAATAATATAAGAACAATTATAAAACGCCAAAACTATAGATTCAATTTTACTTCACAGTAACATAAAAAACAACATTGATATCAGATTTCACAGTCATTTAAGAAAATACAACTTCACGTGACATTCGGGAAACATTATGCAGATTGAAGTGACTCGAATCACATTTCTACGTCATCCATAAATTAATTCAGCCGTAAAAGCTGTTAAAGTTCATAGCCTTAGTGGCCGTTATTCCACAAAATTAATTTACAAACACGGGTTTTAGAAATCACATTTAAATTCAAACTTAACTTTGACGAAAAATATTAAAATACTTTTTAAGTGTACATTTATAAACACACAAATACATACCCATTGTTTTCGTGTAGTTTCGTTATATTTTTTAACTTTTTTTCGCGTTATTATGTGGAGATGTGCGTAGTGCGGG